GTTAAAAAATTAAGTACATAATTAGAGGATTAATGGATAAAGGGTATTGAAGTTATAGTTATCACTGTTATAATTATGTTAATAGCTATATTAATTATTTCATATATTAAAGTATTCTATTTCATTTCCTAATTATTTTAGTATCAAATTTAAAAGATATAACAGAAGAAGTTATTAGTATAAAAATTGAATGAATAGTAATTAAATTATTGAATTTAAGTAATAACCATTTAGTTATCAATAGGATATTATAAAATCTAAATAAGGGTAAGAAGAAGATAACAAATGAGCAATAGTTATTTTAAGATAATAATTTACTTGATACTAACTATTCATTCTATAAAAGAATATGCAAAATATTAACTAATAAAATAGGAAGATGATAAATGTATAATATAATAATTAATTTAATAATACAGAAATAAAAAGAAAATCAGAATCATAAATTAAATATAAAAAAAACAGAAATTAATACACAACATTAAAATAACATTAAGAAATAGTTAATGTGATATTAACAACAAAACAATTATATAATGATCAGTTCAAGTGTTCTAATTAATGAAAAATTATAATTAAATTTCAATATAATGAAAATATTAAAAATATTAAATACTTAATTTGTATAATTAAATAATTAGAGTAATTAAGTATATAAATAACCATAGAAATAATATATCAAATTCATTAAAATAACTATTTATCAATATTATAATATTGGATTTTAAATATTATGAACACATTTATTAATTACTCTTGTATTTTCTTTTTATTTTGTATATAATTTCTTTTTATTCTATATTAACATTTTCCTAAAACCTTAGTAATTTATCGTTTACTATTTTTCATTTACAATATATATATCTTGTTTTGAATACTCGATTTCTTTTAAAATCTTTTTATTCATATTTTATTTGTTATTTATTATTTCATTTCTTTTAATATATTAAACAATTAACTTTATACCATATTGTTTGGTTAAATACCTTCTATCCTCAAATATTTCATTATGTTTATTATAAATATAAAAGGGTTTTAGTATTAGCAATTATTTTTCTTGAATATTGATTTAAAAGGAATTAGATTAAAATGAAATCATTCCATATTTCATTGAAATCTTTTAATTTCAATTTCTAAACTAATAAAATCATTAGTGCTTTTTTTAAAAAATACATTGACATTATCATTATTTCATTCTTTTTCATATTATTGTACTTTTCTATCATCTATTTGTTTTGGGATACGAAAAAGGAAATAATACAAAAAACTTAGAGAAAGAAGGGTATAAAAGCATAATTGAAATTAAGAAATAGAAGAAGATGAAAAGAGTAAGAAAGTTGAGAATATAAAATGAAAGAAGATAAAAGGAGTAATTCAAAA